TGCTGAGAGGTGAAAACATCCTTGACAGTGCAGCAGGTAGCAGTTTGTGGTGTGACAGGGTATTAGAACCCATTTTGGTTTGGTTTGCTTTTGATTTTTTGAGATGGGTTCTCTCTGTGTAGCCTTGACTATCCTGGAACTCACTGTGTAAACCAGGCTAGCCTTGAACTTACAGAGATCTGTCTCCCAAGTGCTGGAATAAAAGGCTTGTGCCACTGCTGCCTTGCCAGGTTTCTTCTTAAGATTAAGGAAATGTTACTGGAAAGGCAATTAAGGAAAGACCTCAGAAACTCAGAGGGAAAGGTCAGTTTTCTTCTGCCCAGCACTTTTTTTTCTTCTGCCTGATCTGCCCTCTGGGGTGCTCCAGTCCCTTTATGGCCTTTTCTCTAATACTGTCCTTTTACCTGTCATCTCGGCATTATCTGGCACTGTCTTTTTTTTTTAATCTGATGAGGTTTATTGGATGGAAATGGAGAAAAAGAGGGAAGGAGAGAGATACAGAGAGACATAGTGGGGGGAGGAGGGGGAAAACACAGAGTGTTTTCTGTGTAAACACAGAGAGGGGGAAAATAAGAGAGTGAGAGAGCAAGAAGACAAGAGAGAGACAAAGTAGAGGGTTGGTCCTTTTATGGAGCAGCTTAACCATATGTGACACCTGGTGGGTGACACATGATGATATCATAGGTTGCCAGGTTACTCAGAAGCAGGCTGCCTAAATACTAATATTCCTACCTTTTTCAATAATTAAAAAATGAGGAGCTTGGGCTGCTTCTCATGTAAGGCAAGTTTATATAAATGTAGGTTCATTGGCAGCTCTTGGTTGGCACTGTCTTCTTAGCCAGCAGTGGCTATCTCCTTTGCACCTGCCTCTACATGTGGTCCTGTCAGCTGCAAAGCTACTTCTGTTAGAGAAAAGCTTGGAAATAGCGTTCAGCGGAGCAGAATAAAACATGACTCATACTTGTTCTCCTATCCATTCCTTCCTTACTTCTCTTTACTTCTGGGCTATAAATATCCTCCCTAGTGTTATTCCAGAAGATATTATGAATCACAGTGTTGGGCTATTAATGGACTTTTGCCTTCTGGGTCCTAAGGAAGAAAGCTATTTTAGTTACAATGTTTACTGTTTAAGGTCCATTTTCCAGCCCAGGATTTGTAAACCTGCAGATAGATAACTTTTCTTTTGTTTCAATGGCATGTTAGAGAAAAAGCTATCCCTATCTAAGAATAAGATTTATATTCATCTTTGCCCAACAGTGGAAGGTTTTCTAGACCTAGAAGTCCATTTGATTTTTTTGTTTGTTTGTTTGGGTTTTTTTGTTGTTGTTTTGTTTTTGTGGTTGTTATAGTTGGTTGTTGTTTTTTGTTGTTTTTATTGTTGTTGGGTTTTTTGTTTTGTTTTTTGAGATTACATAATCTAGCCTGGCTGAAAGTGACTGTGAATTCCTGATCCTCTACCTTCCTAGTGCTAAGATTCCAGGCAGGCATTACATCAGAAACTTGGTCTGTGTATATCAGTGTTAGTGTAATGAGGCATGCAGGACAGGTCGTGTTGGTTGGTAGTATAGTGCTTGCTTGCTTAGCGTTGTCCTTAGCACTTCAGAAGACAGACAGAAGAGGATCTTCTCCAGTCCCTACATTTACAATTGCTTTTATCTTTTGTCAAAGCATCCTTCTTTCCTTATTTCCACTGCTCTTGCTCTTTCCCATGGAACCAACTATGAAGACTTACAGATAACAAAAGTGTGGCTGAGGCAGGAGATTTGCAAGTTCAGTGCTAGCCTGGTCTGTTTGCTTAAAAAGACCCTGTCTCAAATTTTTTAAAAAGAGAAGTTTTGTTTACCTCAAGACATGAAGACCAGGATATTCATCCTTTAGCCACAAAGAGAAGTCTGGAACCAGACCCTTGTTCACTACCTACCTACTCACTAGAACATGTGGCTAGAGATACAAACACAAGTATTTCTGATGTATCTGTACTTCTCTTAAGCACGGTATAGCTGGTTATGATTGCATATGCTTATAATCCCAGCACTTGGGAGACCCAGGAGGATCTGGAATTCCCAACTCCCACATGGTGGCTCACAGCCATCTTTAGCTCCAGTACCATGTGATCTCATGCCCTCCTTTGACCACGTTGAGCACCAGGAACACATGTGATAAACAGATATACATGTAGGCAAAACACCCATAACAGAAAAATAAATAGATAAACATTTTAAAATGTTAAGCCTTGTCCTTAAAATCAGAACAACAACAACAAAAAGAGTGA